CCGCAGAAATCTTTTGCTTTTGTTCAATAATTAATGATTGAACGAGAGAATGAATGGAGCGCTAATCCAATATTTAACGCCGGATACTCTCCCGTGCCCGATTAATCTCGCGGCTTCGTCGACACCGCCGGCCTGAATATATCCATGAATCAATCACGATCACACGTGTACATCTGCAAGTGATAAAGAATTCCACGATTCAATCCGGCAATTTCGGACCAACCGCGAAATTATAGTTTTTTCATGGGGCGGATATATTTTGAAATTTATAGGCACACGATAAATCTGGGCCATAATCTCGACGATATCGGTGTGCACGTGCTCGCGGCCGTTTTGCTCTCTCGTAGAACGTATCTCTAATAAAAATCGCCCACCGTCATACCTCCGTCGTATTTATTTATCCGGCCGAGCGCGGATGATAACGACGTCGGCATTTCATTCATTGTTAGCGACGCTGGAACGCCACGGTGCTATGAAAACTACGTTATTTGTATGCCGCGAGCGGCCGTCTTAACTACGACAATACTTTTCCACTGCCGGCGCGGCGCGGCGCGGCGTAACTCCCTCTGTGCTCCCAAAGGGAGCAGCGGGACGGAAGAAATATGGAAATGGCCGGGAATCAAGGATGGGTCACGGACTCCCCAGCCTCCGAATTAGAAGAATTAAGTAAAGAGTCAAACTCTCTTATAAAAGGATTTTGCTGTCGAATGGAATCGAGAGAGCGAACGACTCGCGTGATTTAAATTATGATGCGTCGCGATTAAGGATGCATATTTATGATAATTATTGATATGCAGATTGACGTAACTTTGATGTGTCAACATCAAATTGTTTATGACGTAGCGGATATTGATATTGGCTGTCAATTTTTAACGAGTTCAAGTTTATCTTAAAAAATTATATTTTATATTAAAGAGAAATTTATCTGAAGTATCGCGATATATATATGTATAGTGCATATATATGTATTGCATATTATGATGTGTTTCTAATAATATTTCAGGGTTAATATAATATTCACAAAAAGAATATAATTTTTTTCCTTTTGTGATAAACAAATAAATAAATAATATAGATTCTATAATTTAAATAGATAACTATTTTAAATGTTTATATAACTAGACATTTAGAATTATATTATAATAAAACTTTTTCACATACAAAAGTTAGTTGTTAAAAAAAATAATTTTGAAAATAGAAAAATTACGGCGTTCTAAATAAAGTAACATCTATAATTGTAAACCTAATTAAACTAACAAACCTCCAGCCTGTCTGGTTGTCCTTTTCAAAAAAAAAAAAGATAATAGAAAGGACTCGAGGCTTCAGAGTTATTATGAAAGACCAGCATATCGCTGAATAGCAGGTAAAATCTCGCACAAACGTGCCGGATCCACAGGTTCACTAAATTTTTTTGTAGATACGTGTATTATTTTTTTTTAACAACTGTTTTCATAGTCAAAAATTTTGAAAGAATTTTTTTCTCTTCTGCATAGAAAAAAAAATTTCAAAGGAACTCACTTTCTTTTCATTTTTCTTCGTAATTTAATAAAAAAAAAAGTTCAGTAAACAATTCAGTAAAAAAAGACATTCAGTGAACAAAACATCAATAAAATCGTCAACTACAATGTAGATAAATGTTTTATAAATTTTTTTCCGATTTTTTAAAATACTTTTAAAGAAAGTAATGTCGAACATGACAGATCACATGTTCACTAAAAAGATACCGAAAAAAACATACTTGGAGAATTTAATGACAGATCGTTACATTGTCTCGCTTCTAAAGATTATATACTTACGTAAATATATATACATAATATTCTATTAAAAAAAATTAAAATAATCTTGATATATCCACAGAAAAAATTTCCTCATAGCAATGTGTATTATAAAATATTAAATTAAATAAATTACAATTTTTAATTATTAAATTAAAATGACACATTTTTTATCTCTATGCATTAGTAACTGTCAAGATAAATTCAATACCGTACAATACCGAGACCATGCAAAATTAAGAAAATATTTTTTTGGACACCGTGTATATTTCAACATCGATAACGCCGATATATCGACGGTATCGTTGCAGCTCCAGATGCGCTCGGTAATTTCCCCGTGTACGGCTCGTGTACGGAAAGTGGGCGAAAGATTTATGTCAATACAAACACACATTATAACTGTGTTTGCCAGCTTCGAGGCGTCTCGTGGTACACAGCCGTGCGTATGCAAAACCCACAACGGGCATACCGTATCACGTACGTGACGTATACGCGGCGTATACGGTATACGTGCAATGCGCACACGCAAATCGCCATATACGAAGTATTGCGAAGCGTATCTCTACGTGTACGTAGAGAGCGATGAGATTCTCCGATGTTCACGATACCGCGATTCTCCGCAGCGATGAGCGATGAATTCGTGCAATACATCCGAGAATACGCGACTTACTCTTTCCACTTGTACATACTCCTACATGATACGTATACAAGATATACAAAGTTACACGGATAATAATCCGTACGAGTGCGTAACACCCAGGCCTCGCTGGCGAGAGCGAGCGCGTGCTGTACGTTTGTTAACTTACGTAATTAATGAGGCACGCACATAGGTTTGCGCACAGTTCAAGTGTACTTACAGCGGGAGATATAATCAGTGAAACCGAAAGGATTAGCATCGGCTAGCTAGAATATCCTGAATATCTTCCACCTGTTCCTATAACACCCCCTCCCCCTCCTTCGCTCCACGCTAAGGGAACGGCTTGTCGTTAGGAAAACCGAGCTCTCATTACGCCAACAAAATTCTCACATTTTCCGCTAAATGTTCCCTTCGTGTTAATGAACGACTTATCTTCATATTTGCTGTCACCACGTGCACGAGTCCCGGAGCTCGTTTAGAGAGAAGTTGGGTTAGCCTGCTAACTGTAGCGGCCGCGGAATTAATTGAGACCTCTCCCCCGCTATATCTCGTTATACGAGTAAATTCTGAATTCTGGTAACTGCTCATCGGAGTCTGAAAACGAGCCGGGACGAGAGTCCTGGCAGTCTGCGTTCAGCTGTATCTATGAGAAATAATATCTGGGAGCGTAATTGCTTTTTAAAAGCTCGCGCTCGTTCCGCGGATTCTGTCCTCGTAATTGTTAATGACTTTTTTAATGGCGAAGAATGCTGTTTTCAAATCGACCCGTAAAATCTCTCGCCATCTGCAGTAATAATCTTTTAACGCGATCATATTCGCAATGTGGAAATATCCACCGGTTTCAAAGGGAGAGATGAGAACTAATCCGAGCCTAACGCATTTATTGATATTGCCATTTTTTTTTTCTATACTTTTTTTTTCTATTCTACCGCGAGAAGTCTTCAGCCGGAGAATGTTTTCCATATTTGCTGATTCCGATATTCTATTTTTGTTGTTCACTGAACGTTATGAAAGATAAAAAGGCACTTGTGTCACCAAATGAAAAGAACTCAGAAATATCTACTTACGTTTAGTGACTTTTCGCATTAATCAGAAACGCAAACAAATTTCTAATAGGATTGTAGTTGACTTTATTTTATTTCAATACAGCAAGCAGTTAAAAATATATACTGTTTTTAAATGTTACGATGAGGAAACGCGGTTAAGATAAACTTATGATATAATGAGAAAGCTGAGACATTTCTCGAGGTAACGAGGAAAATTGGAATAGTGATAAATGTAGGATAAATAAGAGAACGCTCTTTACAAATCCATGAGTCCTTTATTAAGAAATACTGCATCGTTCCGACAATCGCGAAATGGTAGTACGAATATAATCTTTAAGCTATGAGAGCTTCGACGCAGCCTCCTTCTCGAGTCGTCGACTTTGCTCGGAGCGTTTTCCAGGGCGGTGTTCCGGAGTTTTGACATTGGATTACGAAGCGGCGTAAAAGTCCCCCGTGTAAAACTTTAATTACATTTGAATATAAGCACGCCGCGGGGACGCCGGTACTTATCCGAGAATGCGGCTAAGGGGACTTCTCTCTCGACCCTTTCGATCCGTTTTTACGTAATTCCCGCGGGGTGGTTCGCGTCTTAAGCGGTGGTAAGGCCAGTTGTTGTTGTTGTTGCAGCCTTCCGTACCGTTCGCGATCACGAAACGTTCGGATTGCCGCGCTGGGCGGGGACGCTATGTCGATCGGTGGTTTACGCTCGAGAGCTCACGAAACTTGCGGACAAAGACGAAAGGAATGGTTTCGACGCGATTCCTATTTTCTTTTCCTTCTTCTTCTTTTTTCTTTCTTTTTTTTTTTCTTTTTTTCGCAATGGCAGCCGCAGCCGCGCCGAAGAAACGCGCCAAGTTACTTCCACGTGAGTAACTTGCAACTTAAGACTGTAAATATTTGGATAATTGTTCAGGTATCGTAAGGAAGACTGCATCTCGGATGACATATTGCTCATAATTCTGGATGGTTCACATCTTTTCATTTCTGTGCAAACTTTTATTACATGTTCTATATAAAATTGTTTAAGAATGTTACGATATCAATACTGTTAAGGAAAATATTCAATACTAATAATTTGTAAATCTGTGTATCGTAATGTAAAAGTAATAAGGAAAAGTAAGAAAAATCTTAATTAAACTAACAATCAGTTTACCAAGAAATTGGAAACTAATCTTTCTCAAGATAATTTTTCTGAGATTTGTATCTAGTGATTTATATCCTGTTGGCGACTGATTTACAAAGAAGAATTATTAGCAAGCTTGCCGAGTTAGCCAAGTAATCCAATCTTCCCCTCATTATTCGGATATTTCGGATAAATACGAATATGAGGATTCTCATTCAGAGTATCTGGATACTTGAAAAAAAAAGTCTGATTTTATATTATCTATTAAAATAATCATTTATTAAAAATTTATCAATCGAATTTTTTTGCTCTAAACCTCTTGATTAATTTTAGTAATAGATTCTTGTACAAATTTCGAATTTATATTTACTCGAAAAAAGAGAGAGAAAGAGAGAGAGAGAGAGAGAGAGAGAGAGAGGGGAGAAGGGGAAGTAATAAATTGTTATTTACCGTATTCTAATTCAAATATTATTTGAATTATTTCAGTATACGAATTATCCAAATTACTCAAATTATCCGACTTATCCGAATTGTCCAAATTACTGGAATTATTCGAATAATCGTATTACCCGAATTATTCGGATATCTCAATTTCAAAGCTGAATTGCGGCGGCGTCCGAGTATTCTGGATATCTGTTGAATATCTCATCCGGAATTCGGATTTTACAGCCTCACATGAAAACCATGTACCGGCGAACACACACGCAACACCAAACACGACGGAACGAGAGAGAGCACCTGAACAATTTCGGTGGCGCGACAAGGAGAAGACGGAGACACGACAGAGACATAGACAAAGTAGATGACACACCGGGCGGCGTAATGCCGTATCGCTAGACGCATTCGCCTTAATTCGTAGACCACTCCTCGACCGATCCGATCCGTAGCCGATCGATGGTGCGTCTCGATTGGATTCTGCCAGAGAAAAGACGCGGACCGTCGTTGTGGAGGGCCGACGCGGGTTACAATCCGCGTTATCAGGAGTCCTTTGGTCTCGCTCATCCTACCGGTCGTTCAGAACCTCAGCGCAAATCAACAGGACCAGCAGATGCAACGCAAAGTAGAGGCGTACGGTAGAGTGTCCCGTGGACGCCAGGGCATAAGCGTAGGATGAATAGCACTCCCTGCGAGCGTAACATACATGCATGTATAAGATATCTTCCATGATAAACAATGTAAAAAGTTTTGACAATTTGTCGAGATTATTCGGAGTAGGAAAATACTATTTCAGAGTTAGATTGTTGAAAATTTTTTACAATTAGTACAAAAATGTGAAATACCTCACATTCCTTTCTTAACTATCATTCGAGCTTGCCTTTTATCTCAGTTTACTTTAAAATTAAAATAAAGGGTATGAGAATACGGTTGAAAGAATGCGAAAAATAACACGGACAATGTTATTTTTCCTATCCTTTTTTTGTCGCAATTTTTCGATAAATTTCTTTCGTCCTTTCAAATGAACGTATTTATACATTTGTTAGGCTCCAAGTTTCACTTTTCTGCCGAATCTTACGAGGGCTGAACAGTTTTATGACCTAACTTCGAAAATTCTAAGACAAATTAGCTGGCGACTCGGAGTATGCATTAATCACTCGACGTTTACATTCCTGTTATCTTCTTGCGCGATTTGTCAACTCGAGGTCGTTTCGAGGAAAAAAAAAAAGTAGACATTTCTTATTCCATCAATAATATATTTCTCCGGCACCGTTTTGCCCGATGCATAATACATTTTCCTCGCTTCGAGTGTACGTTAAAGAAGATTCGCGCGAAATTTCTTTAAAAATCTGTCTGGCGTGTATGTTCGTATTATTTTTGCAACGGCAGTCAGTCGTAAGGTGTTACAACATTACTGGCTAATAGGAAATTGCTCCCAACTTCGAAACATTACCGCGCTAAAGCCATCTCGCTGAGAATTCTCTGAAATCTTTGAATTCTTTGAGACTCCTTCAAGACTTTGCAAGATTACATGACGCTTTCAAACTACGGGAGCTTTCACAGTGCTTAATTTACGAAAACGTCTCGTGCCGCTTTGCGAATATTGAAAAGTGCAATAATCCCTCTCTATCCGTCTTTCCATTTATCCATTTTCATGCCGACATTTATCTAGCCCGTTATGTGTATTACTGACTTGTTCTACTTTGAAATTTCAAACTGTCGAGACAACTCTTTTGGACCTTTATCTCCTCTGTTGTTTTAATATGTCAGGCTTTTAACATACTTTGGAAAATGAAAAAGTACATCGATTATTAAACAAAGTATCTTTTTGTAATATGAATACACAATGAATAGGAAATAAAGGCCCTAAATGGTCAAATTGGAGTTTTAGTGCTTGAATAATTTGGTGTAAATTTATATACATATCCTGTAAATTGCGCGCTGCTTAATTTTCAGTTTTGAAACGTAATCCTAACAGAACTGGAGTAGTAATATTACAAATTAAATTGACAATATACAATAACATTGATTCTCATTTTAATAATTTAATGTTGATAAATATCTTAAAATCTGTAAATAATTTTATTACCTTAATCGATATTAATATTTTTCGTAATAGAATGATTTACATCGATTGTTGATAAGTGTAACATATAAAGAAAGTAAATATTATTCATATAATTTGGTCTAATATACTATCTAATAACACATTTTGTACCAATAGCATTTTTTAAATATTCTAGTAAACAAATTGTCTCGACAAATTGTCAATCATCGTCGATTTTTGCTCTCTATTTAAGTTTATAATTAATAATAAATTAAAAAATATTTAAACTATAAAAATATTACACAATTAATTCAAAGCAAAGAGCTTTCATTGATAAAATTTTCTAAACTTTCTTCGCTTTCCTCTTGTAATAGTGCTATTACTTTAGCTGGCAGAATACGTGCGATATGTTTCGTTACAGAATACTCTGATCTAATCGGTATTCACTTCACGTATACACAACCAATTAACGACGAACATCGAGAGCCTACTCTCAATGGATACCAAGTTTCATGAGGCATCATTTGGATTATTGTATCCTGCTGCATTTTCGAAATGGCAGAAAGCGATCGAATTAAATTTCTGTGAAAATTCACGATAACTTATTATCCAAATATTTAATTCAATTAGCTGTTAAAATTAATCAAGACGTTTTATATATACATATATATTGAATAAGAAATAAACTCAAGATAGATTTATTTAAAAATAAAATGTTTTCGTAAAAAGAAAATCATACCTTCAATTTTGTTTTGTGAGAAAAATTTAATATCGTTCTCGTGAAATAAGCTTGTCGATATCACGAATATATTTTCGTGATAATGCAATTTTCTCGGCGTATATTGCACGATCGATCCACGTTTGAAATCGCTTTTACTTACGTTTAAACGGTAGATTGAAGTACACTTTTATCGTAACCCCCATGCTCACGAAACGCACAATTGCAGTTACTCACGAAATTGATCAAGTATTTTAAAAACATCATATAAAAAGTTTTTATAACCAAATAGTGGAGAAACTAGAAAGCTAACGTATATATATATTACGAAACAAATGTTCATTATTAAAAAGAAAATACAAGATTACTATTAGAAGATTGCAAATGATATATTTCTAAAATAACAACTTTCCAAATAATTACATGAAATTTTCGGAATACTCGATTATTTTTCCGAGTCGCTTGCATAAAGCTCAAGCTATACCTGTAGGACTCGGGATTTAGCCTCGTCACAGTGCAGTAATGATGCAGCGCACAGACTCCGTTGAGAGGACCGCCACAGCCCCAGATTTGCTCTACCTCGCGCGGCAGCGAGACCGTGTTGGCCGCGTAATACCTGTGGGACATAGAATATACTCACTCCCCACACACACACACACACACGCACGTACGCACGACTGCGAGGCGTGGGGAGGTAGGATAATATACACAGACCGAGACCGAGCTTGTGCATTAGGAGAAACGCGAGAGAGCGGTCGGGTATCAGGACTGTTATTAGCATCGTAATGGCGCGCGCGTCTCGAAAAGGGGTAGACAGTTATCACAATGTCGCCGGGCCAGAGTCAGGTATTACTATGAGATATAATTGCTGGCTCATGGAGAAACGCGGGAATTATTAATCCTCAACCGTGGGCATCGATATCTCACACGACCGACGTCACTTAACCACATTCCGCACGTCAGCATGAAACACCCATTGAGATATTTTGACTGACATTTATGCGAAACGTACTACGTAAGAGGCTTTCAACAATAAGCAGCCGAGTGTGAGAAGAATATTCTTCTTACGTTCGACTGTGGCTTATTGTTGAAAGTCTCTTATCCTTAGCTTTAAATCTCAAGTCGTAAGAAATTGACCAATCATAGTCGATTATATAATCGATTATAATTGGTCAATTTCTTACGACTTAAAATTTAAAGCTTAAATAATGGCTTATTGTAGAAAGCCTTTAATAAATCGATCGCAACACAAACATGATCCTGAGTTGATTCTTTTCTTATAAAGATCGCGATTGGCATCTTGATAATACAAATGGTATTTTTGAACGATCACTATTTGCTTTACGTCGTATCTATTGATTAATCTAAAGAAAAAAGAATGTACGTCGACACGAGCGAGCCAGCGGCTTAAGACGTAATCGAGGCCAATAATTAGCGGGGTACGCCATTATGGTTTTAGGGCTAAATTACGCGAACGGATCGATCGATCCACTTCATCGCATACATACCTGACGAAGGCGTAATCATTCGACTGCGTAAACCGGTCCGCCAGATCGTGAAGAGTGATCGCCGTTATCTCATCCAGCTCATAATAGTCGAGCAGCGAGTACTCGACTATCCAGTTCGCTTTGCCAATTGAATTCGCTTCGGGCAGATTAAGATAGTACTGCGTGTAATCCAGAATCTGCGCAGCGTGCAACACGTACACATAGACAGGTTTCTACATTTCTGCGTCCCTTTTGAAATTGGTACGTCGCGCAAATAGAGCGTTCCCGTTACGGAAACCTCGCGATAATATTGAGAATGTATACGCGCCCGCCATACCACCTACCTGTCCGGTGTTAGTTTCGAACTTGTAGAGTCGCAAACCCGGGTTGTTGGGCCCCCCGACGGTGTTCGGCGTTACGCTGGGAGCCATCATTATCCAAGATACGGGTAGACCTGTTCAATACGAGTATCGTTTCACCGAATAATTAATCGCGCGTTACAAGTATTAATAAAATTAAGGTGAAAACCGATAAAAACCAATTCATCTAGACCAGTGCGATATAAAGGAACGACAAATACTGATAGATAATTTGTCTGAGAAATTGATCGATCCCCTTTTTCTGTGATTATCAAAGGGAAAAGGAGGACAGTTCAACAAAATACTTTGAAAAGAAAAACGAAGATCGAAGTTGTTTCATTCTAAATTACAAGAGATAAGAAATAAAGATAAATGGTCCACATGATTTGTATCGTGTCAAGAAATTGTTATATTCCAGAGAAATATTATCTATGGTTGTACTAGTGCTACTAGCTACCCGCACGATTTACTACTCTTTTGTAACTAGTGTTTGTAAATAAGTCCTGACAATTTTGCTGTAACATACCTGTGTCGCTGTATATCACGCGGAACGTATCCGAATGCCAGTGGCCAAAGAACTGTCCTCGAATGATGTCCGAGTAGAGCCGGACTACCTGCAGATATTTGGTGTTGTGCCTCTCGTTGAGCGCCGCGGCGCCGCTTTCGTGGTCGTCTACCCCCGGCGGTGTGTGGCCGACTATGTACACCTGACCGTTACAGAGTAGAATAGGAATGATCATCGAACATCGATATTTCGAGGAATCTGCATAGTTAGGTCGGTTCGACGTTTCGTTATCTGTGTTCTACCTTAATATCTATTCATGAAAACTCGATGTATTCCGATACTATCTTCGATGTTTCCCACATTGGATTGATTTTTGACGAGCCACGTTATTTGACGTGAAGACACTGATGCAATGTATACTTTTATGTTACAATAAATTTTTCCTAAAAAGTTTTTATTTAATTTTTCTCTCGTATGCGTATAAGATTTTATTGTGATGTGAAGATGTATCATAAGACATGGCGGTTCGATAAATAGAAACTTTTAGAATGTCAGGCTTTTTTGGCCAATTAATTTATAAAAATATTTTCTATGTCCATTATTTGATGTTAATCCTATTTATTATCATTAATAATGCTTCATCCTGTGTGTGTACTTATATACTCTCTAAATTCTTTGGAATAGAATTTAAAGAGTATATAAGTACACACACCTTAAGAATGAAATTTGAGCCAGTATTGGAAAAAAATGGCTCAATTTTCTATCTTTAAGAATGAGATTTCGCTCTTCAAAGTAAGAGTTTAAAAGTTTAAGAGATTATTATAAGTATCGATTGTGTATGTTTTTGTGCAATAGAATGCTGTCTCAGTATGATCTGAATTTTTAAAGCTTTTATAGAACATTATCTCACTTTCTAAACAAAGTTATATCCAAATGTACATAAAAATAAAAATATCGTTTTTTAATACATTTTTGGTATTTAAAAATAAACAAAACTATATAAAGTCATAATTGTAGGCTTGTATATTTTCGATCATCCGTGAGAACCGTTAGACATAACATTATATATCGTTGTTAAAACTAAATGAATATCAAATGTTAAATATATTAAATTGTTACATTTTTTTTTATAAAAACTTTTGAGGAAATTGTCGCATCATTATGTGAGTATTGTATGTAGTTTTTTAGAATTAGAAATTTCTACAAATTTATATATATCTTGATCTAAATAAATCAATTGTGAAGAAATTCTTACATTATGGGACTAAACGTAATTTTCGCCGTTAAACGAGTAATTGATTTTGCATTTTTAATTTGGACATCTTTTGAAGATCTGACATGATTCACCAGTATTTATCATCAATAATTGACGTGGGATTTTTCTTTAATTTAAAATCGTTGTAAAGCGAAAGAAATATTAACTTATTTATACTGAGAAAGACTCTATGTAGCCGAAACGTTTATATTGTAATTTATATATTGATAATTATATTAATATGTTAAATTTATATTAAATATATTAACAAAATACCTTTTATTGCTCGTTAATTGGTCGCTGATTTTTGAATTGTTTTACGTTGCAAACTTCGAGCGTTTATTTATATTCTTGTTTTGATATTAGATTTATAGATTTAGTTTTGATATTATATTCTAAAAATAAAATCAATCTAAATAATTACGAATGACATAGATTGCAACGATGAAATGTATCAGTCCAATTACAATTATTATTGGAATTTACATTGAGAAAAGTATATTTTATATAGATAGAGTAAAATAAAAAATAAATATTCGCCACTCTTATTGTTAGAGTTTTGTATATACCCATAATAATTAAAAATATTTACCTTCTGTTATTATCGTGTTGCGAACTCTACAAAGTTTATTTTTATCACGGAGAAACCTACATGCATATATATATATATATATGATACGTGCTTACACATGCATGCTCGAATACATGATAAAATCGGAAATATGTAACTTTGTTAAAGTAAACTTGTGCCACAATGTCGGTAGGAAACTTAATAATAACGATAATATCGTAAATTTATGATAGAATAATTTATTGACTACGAAAAAAAAAAACTGCCGAGAATCGCCGTCAATACTTGGATACTAAATATCGACAACTCCCGTCCGATACGAAAGAGCGGAAGCATTCTCATTCAACGGAGATATCCTTAGTTACGTCGCGTGACTACGTTCCGGTTAAACAGACGCTCTAGGGTGAATCACGTACGTGGCTACGCAATGTGTCTCTCGGGACGTAGGAAGTCTCGTTAGCATCAGCAAACCGGCCAGTCACTCGCGGATGGCAAGCGCTAGTGTACACAGCACCCACACACACATACACAGAGATATGCTTGTTCGATCGTGGTGTCTGTCGCGACGACGGAGGATTGGAGATACGAAGGACCTGATATCTAATCGGACACGTACGCGAAATTAGTCCCACCGGTTCGAAACGCAAATTGACGCAGAAGTTGGTGCTCAGCGTCGAGACCTCTGATTGAAAAAGTAGCCCAGATATGTCCCTGATCGTCGAGAAGACATCTCCGAAGAACAATCGGAAAACGTATTAAAGCTAATAAGGATCGACTATTTTCTTGATTAGCCAAAATTACCATGAAACTGTGCCATCTTATTTTTAACTCTATTAAAAATCTTAATTCAACTGGAATCTTTTCTGTCTTTTCAATTATTTCTACGGTAATGAAACGTATATAATTAATTCTTCTTAATTATTTAATATGTAACTGATAGTTTTAGACGATCAACGAAACTGCATCTGTTATTCTCAACAATAACAGAAATATTAATGGCATTAACAGGGACTATTGACGAAAGTATCTATTATATAATGAATCAGAATTCACCAATTCGAATCGAGAACTCGGTTATATTCCCATAGGGTCATTCCAACCAAAATAGTAAATAAAATAGATAGAACAAAACTCGTTAAGTGAATAACGGAAGAGAGATACATTTTTCATTCGCCGGGATTCTTTCTCGTCAAATCGCGCCGTGGGGAAAAGGCTGCCTTCTTTGAAAGATAAATGGTAACGAACGCGGTTGAATGAGAGTGACGCGTTTGGAATTATGTGGCGAATTGTCGCGTCGCGCGGGCGTTGCGGTCCGCGGAATAAACGCAAAAACGTTCGTCCGCGCGACGCGACGGAGACGCAAAGGGAGAGATGCAAAAAGCGCGCTCTCCGCAAACAACCGAATCGTCGACGCCGCGGAGATTGAAAAATATCGCGTGAAAAGCGCACAGACGTCGATTTTAAATTGCTGCCGAGGGCCTTTTGCCGAAGGTGCAGGAATCACGGCTGCCATTCAAGGGAGGCACGAACGAATTGGACCGGGCTACAATGGATCGCTGATTGGTCAGTTTTGCCGCTGACGCTCTTAAACGACTCGTAATTTGTAATCGCATTATCCGTCCGACGTCGGGAACGATCGATCGATCCATTTCCTCCTTTTCCCTTCCGCCAGCTGTACCGCCAGCAACCTCTCCTGTAGTAGGATCCCCGTCCGTTTACCGTTTTACCGTTTGCCACGACATCGCTTCCCGTCTCCATGGGAATGCCGGGGGATCGAGAAGCCCACTTGGACCGTTTGCGAAACGACAACGGCGCGGGATTATATCTGTCCACGGAAAATCGGATTTCTATCTCGGAACCCTGGGCAGTTGGGCACCTACCCCTCACCGCGTTCCCTTTCTTCCAACCCCTTTCGCTCCCTGTCTCCGCACGCTCTTTTATCCGGGCGCACATAAGGACGTACAAGATTTTCCGAGAATTCTTCTCCGGAAATCCCCGGGGGAGTGCGTCGGGATGTCCGTGCGGTGCGATCGAGCGAGCATCCGAGGAGCGGGATACCTTCGGAGAAACTGGAGGATAAGAGGATGACGCGGGAGGATCGGAGAAAATTATTGCTGGTTATCAGAGTCGCGACCAACGAGCCATGCTTGCTACATTTTCCGATTGTTATTACCCTACTGGTCATTTCATCGCTTTTCAAGAGGACAGCTATTTTGCTTCCACGCTCGTTGATCCGCATTAAGAGCTTTCCGAGAAGAAAGGAGGAGAGAAAGCCAGAGAAGGAAAAGGAGAAACGGAGAGAAAGAGGAAGGCTTTAAGAGTCTCCTGAGAGCTTCGTGGAGTATCGTGCATGGCTATCGGGCAAAGAACATACTTGGTTTATCGAAACCCATCACATAACCCATCATATGATGCGTTATTACTCTATTGTGAATGTTCGTCTAATGTCAACTTTACGTTTTGTTTAAAAACTTGCGGAAACGTTACAAAAATTTCCAGAAGATTTCTCGAAACTTGTCAATTGGCCGGAGATTAACGAACAAATCATGGTTCCGTGGTAAAAATAATAGCGCACTCGGGGAAGCGCGGATACGCGAATTCGCGGGAATAACAACAATTAGAGACCACATTTTTTTTTTTTTTTTTTTTTTAATATATATATAAATATAATACGAGGCTACCAGAGTGTATGTAACCACGTTCAGCTTGAAATATAGAGTGGGATTCAGTTTGCCATAGTAAATTCCACGAATAATTTCTGACTTTTGGCCATACGGAATTAAAAATTTACGCAGAATTTTATTGCACACGTAGTTCGAAGGTACACTGAAAAATAATGTCACTCTTCATACGCGAGCCAGTCGGTGGCGTTATGCATCCCGGGGTAACAGGGTTGCCTTTTCGAACGTGCACGTAGGTGAATACGCCGATAGTGACGTGTATGAACGCGATGGCGCGGCTCAGCTCTCTCTCTCTCTCTCTCTCTCTCTCTCTCTCTCTTGGTTGCGCTCGCCGCTCGGTTAATACGATCGGGATCAATGGCGGTGGCGTGCAACGGTTTACGTATATGGACGGGGTCTCCTCTTGCGGGCCCATGTATGGAATACCAAGTCCCTCCATAATTTATCGTCGGTCGTGCCATCTCGGTCGCGTGAAGGATCTCCCTCGCGTATGTCGAACTCGTTCTACTACACGCCCCGCGGCGTAATCGATAACCGATAACCCCGGGAACCGCGATATTCGATAGGTCCCGGCTCGGAAGATTTCCGTTCGCTTGCTCGCTCGCGCGATACCGGAGCCATCGCGACGTAGCTTTCGCGAAGCGAGTGCGCCGAATTAATTGCCTCGCTGATCGAAGAGGATTTTGCGATCGGTCCTCTCCCTCCCTCTTTCTCTCTCTCTCTCTCTCTCTCTCATCTCGTTGGATCCCACAACGATCCCCGGGCGTAATGGGCATTACCTACGATTTGTCATCGCGCTTTATGACGCGAATCGTACGAGAGAGAGGAAGAGAAAGTGCAATACGTCGAAAACGGAAATCCCGGAGAAATTGTATTCGGGAATAGAGAGAGGGACCCACTCTTGCGATTTGCATTCAAATCTTCGCTGGAAATTATACAATTTGCTCCATCTTCCTACGAGGATATATACGGTTAGCTATTACTATTACAAATTTTCGTTCAAGAATCTCCTTAAGCTAAATTCGTCGGTGTACGTCGGTAAGAGTTAATAAGCTGGCTGGTAATTATAACCGTAATGTATCATGCTGTCGGGCCAACAAATGTATCTACTCACACGGTAATTTTTAAACGCGCAAACGAGAAGGAACGAAAATGATGACTACAAAACAGCTCGCCTGATAAATCATACATCCTATTGAAGCCCGATCAGCGGGATTTTATTCGCTTCGTACGCTCTATGGGAATTCATTTCATTAAAATTTATCTCCTTGACGATCTCATCTGTGTCGCGTTGGCGCTTTAATACGAAAAGCAGCGCGAAACACCGCGCCGTTTATACACCGCGCGATTTTTTCCATTGCTCGTGCAATTGCTCGTCGTATCGTGTATCTTATTCTTGAAATAAAAGAAAGAATGAGAAAAAACACATCTCGTTGCGCGGTAAAGTGAGACGAGAGCAATACCGTCACCTTAAATTTTCCCCAATGTCGGCAGTAACCTGGGTTTTCCACGCTTTTCGCGAAACAATAAACTGTGAAACTGAATAATACCTTTACATGGGTGCAACCCTTCAATTACTCAACTTGTCGTGTGACACACGAGATACGCGGGGAATGTTTTATACGTGCATATTTACCCGGTGAAACACTTGCCATAATTCTACGATGTCTGGCGAGCTTGACGGGTAATCGGAAGAATTGCTTGTGTATCTGATGTAGAGCGATATTATAACTATAGGTGCAGAATTGTTGTACCGTTAAGTCAATCTGCGACATCGTTAAGTCAATCTGCCAATTTATCAATCAAAATGCATCAACGGGATTAAGTATATATAGAGCGAGGAAAAAAAAATGCGGGCTTTATTTTAAAAAATTGCGGTGTAACGTTATTGGACAGCGGGATATTTCGCGAAAAGTAAGATATTGAATGACGCGACACTGCCGCGCACGAGATTCGCGACTTCTGATATTAATCTCCTGGAGGAAAGTTCAGTGAAACGTGCTTTCCAATAAGCACGATCGTGTGAGTGACTTGACGAGGTCGTTTTTAGATCGGATGAAAGTTTCGTATCGAATATTCGTGTGTCGACGAAGTTCCGTGTAAAACAAGCCGCCCGCGGCGGCACTGATTAAAAATCTATTCGATAAGTTATTGGACGTGCAAAGAACAACTACTCCTCACCCTTCTCTTTTTGTGTTATTTGCACCGATTGTTCGATGCGAGTTTCTTTGTGATAGGCAAGTAACGCATGCATCCCGAGAAAAAAAATCTCAATTTCATTAGCATACATTTAACTTTACCGTGTTTCTTTTTGCGCTAAACCCTCGTTTAATAATCATGATATTTTATGTGTAGAATGAATTTAATCAATTATTTAATAAGAATTTATAAATGTACTTACACAGAAGTAGCGTAACACAAATTGTACGATTTCAGAACATTGACGTGCGACATTTTGGAAGAAACATAAATTGTGTTGTGTTTAAAATTTATCTCCTTGGCGAGCTGTTGGCCCTTTAATACGAAAAGCAGCACGAAACACGTTCATACACCGCGCGATTTTTTCATTGTTCATACAATTGCTCGTCGTGTATCTTATTCTTGAAATAAAAGAAATGAAAAAAAAAACACATCTCGTTGCGCGGTAAAGTGTTCATAATTGTTAGTTAAAAGTCTCTAAAATTTTATTTTTAACAATGAATTCAATATTGAGCAGGAAAAACTTATTCATTAAACAATATTTTTAAAAATTATATTTTATCTTTCAAGTACGTATTGATATTTATAAAAGCTAAACTGTCAAATGTAATTTTCACAACGACTCTTGACGCATGAATATCTAGAAGTGCACGAATACGCGCGCATTTCAAAATGTATAATTTTATAGATTAGAGTACATGTATCTGGCACCGAATTACAGCATATTTTCAACGATTAAACGCCCATTTATTCAATCAAGTTTCGTGTTAAAAGACTCGTGTCCACTGGTTTATAAAGCTGATCGATGATCAGCTTTATTAGAAAGAGCTTAATTTACATACGCGTGTCATAATAGCGAACGACTCGACATTCGCTCTGAGATACCTGTCGTTTTCATCGATCCGAGAAAACTGATAGCATGTAAAAATTCTTTTGTCCTACATTATCTTTTTACATACACTCTGCACGGGATAGATACACGCATACGCGCAAATATATATGCGCACGGTTCAACGGACACGAAAAATTTCAATGCATCCTTTATCACCGGCGTCCAATATTCGTTTCGAATCGAGTTACATACGAAGATAGTCTCATAGAATATTTCCGCTTAATTTAGTTCCCACGTATGCTGAAGAGTTCAATGGTGCCGAAAATCGATATTACTGACAAAATAACGCGACACTTACATTAAAAGATGAAAATTCCATTATCCCGACAGACTGTCCAAATAGGAATCGATCCGAGTTGAATTAGTGCCGTATCCTCGATTCTCACTCGCATCCTCGACTTTAAATCCCTCCCTCCATCTAGCTCTCTATCAAACCGTCAGGCGTGCCTTTATCATTTTCGCAGTACTTCTTTATTCGGCAAAAATCCATAAAATTGTTTATCGATATCGGCGATGTCGCGAATTATTTATTATCGTCGTATACCCTGGCGACGAAGGAGAGCGCGATACAACAGAAAGAAAGTAATGCGTGCCCGACGGCAGTATAATAGCTCTGAAGACCAAATAATATCGTATATCGTAAAGTAACAACCTACCGTCTCCTTCTTCTTCCGCGCATTCTCGAGGACCGACTGGAACCAGGACCATTGGCCGAAGGGATCCTGCGTGTTATCGACCGTACTGCTTCCAGAGCGATGCAGCATACGGCTGTCGACTGGGTTCAGCCACAAATTCGTATTAAGGAAGACGATCCGATATTTTTTCGAGCGCTGCTCGATCGTATAGTAGCCGGCTGCAACAAATTTTGAATAGTGCCGTGGCGGTAAAGCCAGGGTGAATTTATGCCCGCCAATAAGCTTACTTTGTGCCGTAACATTTTCAGAGGGAGAGGGCATCCATAAATGTTGCATCGACCCGTTGCGCGCGTTTCGAATCAAAGAGCGAACCCCGTTTGCTGATCATTTATGCATCTCTCGGGACCGTAAGATACCTCTTTTTGAATTTTAATACATTACGATACGATATAATAAATGTACGATATTATTGATATGCATACATATTACAAAGATTAGCTAAAGGGCTAACCGATTGTAGGATAAATCGTCATTAACCATCAAATACTCTTTCGATATCACGTATCCAGTGATTTTTTTTCCAATGTTTTTTTTTCTATCACTTATAATTTTTTTTTTATTAGTAAAGATACATTTGTTTGATACCGTTACGTCCCTTAATGTCTGGCACTTTGATTGAAACAAATTTTACAATATCGTTCATTTGCTACAATAACGACACAATTTAAAAAAAGAAAACAACAAAGTTTCTAAAAAATGAGTGTGATTGTTGTAAATCAGTAAAATTTTATAATGTTAATTTTAAAGTGTAAGTTTGGAGTAACAGCTGATTTTAAAAGAATAAAAATATAATAATCAGAGTATGTTTTTGTCTTTATGTTTTCGTTATTTTACTGTAAGCAATTCCAAAATGACAATTTTTTAATCATGTCATTATTGTAATAATTATGCGATATGTTCATTTTTATAAAAGTTACAAGCAATTAAATATGTCATAATAGTGTTGCTCCCATAGTGTAGCGTTTAAGAATTAATTTGTAATAAAACCGTAATTATAATTCAATAATTAACATGATTCTCGTAGCCCTTCTCAACATATTTCTAATTAATTTATTACTTGAACTATTCACATTATGTATTTCAATAACTAACATTTTCCATCGCTACTTCAATCCGTTTAACTATTTATTTCGTATTGTTCATCGTTTGAGGATCGCGTAACAGCATTTGTTTACTTACCCTTTACAAAAGTATCCACCGCTTCCGGTGGTAGCCAATTTTGCCAGACGGAAGCGAGCTGCGTATAATTCAGGCCTATGTCTTCGTGGCCGAGTGCGGGGAACACGAATTGTCCTTTAAACGTGCGATGCAACAGTTCGGTCAAATTCCGCAAACACTGCAGACGCAGCTCGGCGTTCATGCCGGCATTGCGCGTCAGCGCGTCACTGCAACAAGTAGTTACAGCCTCGTTAGTCCTAGTTACATAGAACGCTCGTACTCAGGGATTACAACGCGAGCGCCGGTGATTATCGCCGATAAATACAGCGAGGAAGAGGAAATGTCGCCGGATAAGGACGCGCGTCTCGTTGTGCCGCGTCGCGACGCGTCGCGTTGTGTCGCGTCCCGTCACGTCGTGTCGACACGCGAGATGAAGCGCAATGCGGTACGACCTCAACGACGAAATGAGACGTGCGAATTGTCACTCAAACGAGACGCTGATAATTGTTACTTCAACGGTAACTGATTAAACACCGACGGATGACGAAAATGGGAGGAAAGTGACACGGCAGAAATATAAATGACATGTTCTGAAATTAAACTAGGAGGAAATTCATAAATATAAACGTTTATAGTGTAGTTGTACGGAATATTCTTTTAGAAATGGATCATATTCTTACTACTTTTAAATTATTATGACTATCAAGGAAACGTGTGTATTGTTTATATTAAATTATTTATGTTACTTTTTTTTTATTTCTTATTCAATCACTCGTATGATTTTTGTTAACTTTTGTAATTTTTATGAAGATCTAATTATTTTAACATTGGATATAAATTTTGTTAAGAGTTTTTTGAATATTTATTATTAAATTACTTCTTTATATTTTAACTGAAATATGACTCAAGTGCGAAACATTCTTGTTCTTAATATATTGCTTATTTATACTACATTTAATTATTTATAACATCTATACTTGTTCATTTTTCTGATCAATTTATATTATTATATAATATTAATACTATGAATATAAAATTGGTAAAAAACGAAAAGCTTTATATCGTTTTCCTTAAAAAATAATTTTACAAATTGTATCTTTGCTCCGAAATATCATATCATTACAAGCAGAAAACTCAGGTAATTTACAGTTATCTCTAAATAGAATGATTACGTATACAAGATTAATACAAATGGAATTTAGTCCGAAATCGAAGCCCGCGAGTTCAATATGTCGAAATGTATTAACATTAATGTGTGACGAATTTGAAATTCATGATACTTTGAAACTTTTCGGAAATAGAAATTTCATATTATATCAATATTTTAACATTTACTGCTTGTACTCATTTACATCTGTATTTCTCTAATAATAATTGCAATAAAGAGACGGTATTACATAAGTGGAGAAAGTCATCGGTCGTAATATTTGTACTGGTCAACGGTACTCGTCGCTTCCGGTAATTAATTGGAAGTCGTGCACCTCCAACTAGTAAATCGTTCGTAAAGTAAATTTATTTAACGGTAATATATTCAACACATAATAATCGCGTTATTAACTGAATTAACAACTTGCCGTTTCCCAAACTGGATCTTGTTTATAATTTCATTGATGATAAATGAGATCTCATGAATAAATTACAATACGTTAATGATTCATTTAACAACAACAATCGTTATTAACGATAGCAGGTCGTATATCGTTTGACTATTATAAAAGCCCTGAATATTTTCATAAATTTCAAATACGTAACATAAATTAGTAATAATGATAACAACGATAATGATTTGCAATGGAAACAATAATAATAATATTACCGAAAATAATCAATTGAAAAAGAGCTCTTAAAAACAATAATAATAATAACAATAAAATATCCTTGTATAATATTTCAATATGGAACTCGAAGCAGAAAGATATTAGTACGAATTATCGGTTAATAAATAGCCCCTATTACATCGATATATCGTATCTCAATCATAACGTAGACCAATTATATCGTATTCATGAAAAAGAATAAAAAAGAACAGATTATCGTCCATGAAAGTTCATTTGGATGTCACTATACAATGATTCGGGTACTGAAATACGTATCGAACCACATTAACCGACAATTATACGATAGTTCGACATACCCCGTCCACAGAACAAATTCGATATCGCCATGCTTCGATCTCATCGCCCGTGCTGCCGATTCGATCAAAGCCCAGGGCGAGTCGCAGCTGTAGTCGCCAAACTTGCCCGCCAGTTTTCTGTCGAGCCTCATACGTCCGCCATCGACGAGGTTTCTCATGTTCCAGCACTCTGAAACACGATGGTAAATGGAGGTCCGCGCATGAGAGACTATCGAGAAGCGACAAGTGGAAGGGTCGCGAGAGAAAAAGCAGTGTTGATCGTGGGAACTGGTGAAATAAAAAATGCACACCGCGTGACAAAGAACCAGCCAGGATCACGCTTATTCACTACTTATTTGTATCTCGCTTAACGTCCGTACGACACGAGGCCTAAGATGGTGAGTCGAATAAACGAGAGGGTGGGGTAATTCAAGTCGCTGCTATTTCGTGCAGGTCTCGTGCCAGCCGAGCACGCTAAGTTCTAGAATGATCGGTAAATACCCGCGCGCGTGTAGACCAGTAAATAACAGTCTAACGTTCTATTAGAGGAATGATAATAATTCGCTCATGCGATCGTCGGAAAATGAAATGTATAACGATTCGAAGGCGTATATTCGTTAAAGCTCGACTGTGAGCCAGTTCGTCGCATGCTGAAAAAATAATTGGGAAAAAAACCCATGCAAATTTCTTCTTTCAAAAAAAAAAAAAAAAAAAAAAACACTTGCTATCCAGTAGAAAAGTTTCAGAAATTATGAAGTTTCGTGGAAAATTTTCACAAAATACTAATAAGTTTGAGGGAAATTTGTATGAAACGCTTGGGAAAGTTTATACCTCGAAGCATCTGGCAAACACCGATACTAGGTGAGAACACCAAGGTTTGGATTTCGCAACGGGAGGTCGATCACGTATATTTTCTCTAAGAGCAAAATAGTAAAAAGTGAAAATTTTCACGCGAATTTCGCGAAATCGTGGTCACGTAACCTAACCGAGGCGAAACGATGAAATTTAATAGGATGAGATTCACGTGAGTGATCGTATGAGATATGAAAAACCGGATGAGATAAAAGAAAAAGCTCTCTAACAATTACGTGATCAACTTCCCGGTACGGCGCGGCGCGGCGCGGCGCGCAATTCTGGCCGTATTGGGCGAGAATTAGCAAGTACATGCAAATCATTTTTCTTGAAAACCATGTAACACAATGAAAAAAAAAAAAAAAAAATTCTAAAAACATTCTAATCTATATCCCAATAAAGTTATTTTTAATTGATTTCTTCGCATTACAAAATTGTAAAAAATTACAAACAACGCGTATTAACTTACTGGTATTACTAGGTGTATTTCCTTGCACAGCATATTTTGGGTCGTAATGAATATCGGTGATATGCCAGAAATATCCTGCAAAATAGAAAATTTTATTCTGACCAGAATTAATGGTGAATATGAGATGCGAGAACGTAAAAAGCGCCACAAACAGTTACAAAAATTTCAATATCAAATCGATATGTATTTTGGCGCTTAACACGGTCGAACACTTTCTGGCTTCAGTCAAATCGTATATTTCGAAAAAGTAATAACGAATGGCACGGAATAAAAATAATCTATTTGTCAGTGCAAAATAGGGAAAAATTTCGAATACGTATTACTGTTTATTAAGAGGCTTAATTTATACCTTCAAAAAGCTTGTCATTTTTATGTTCTTTTAAATAAACAGGTTTTTACTTCCCTCCCGTAAAATTTGGCTACCAGTACGTATAACCTTGTCGAAATATCCCAGGGATTAAAACCAGTATCATATCGGTGAGTCCAATTTTCGTTGCTGTAGATATGGAAAAATACATCTCACACCATTGCTGCGCTTCCATTGTCACAAATAAACATAGAGATCATATTTGCGTATCTACACGAGAAAATGCTGCATATAGCGAAATTCGTTTAGCAAATGGAAATTTTGCTTTTTCGTCAGTAAACCACACGAGTACAAAGTTTCATGAAATTTAGCTGATTATATCTTGGAGAGAAAAACTAAATACAATAGATAAAATGCAGTTAAGAAAAACGTCACAGTGCAACATTGTACAAATATTATAAGCTTTACTTTTTGTGTTGCAGCTTTATTTCTTATTTATTAGTGTTATAATATAAATGTCGCTGTGCGCAATATTGCAATTTCAATTTTAATTGGAATCTTATGCTTCTTTTTTGATGCACTAACAAATGCAATTTTTAATTGTCTATAAAAAAATAATAAAAATTATTTCTACAAAAATTATCAATATAAAAATATTTAAAATTTTATTATTATGAGTAAAAGAGAGGTTATACAGAATGGCTCACAGTAACTTAATATCTCCTGTTCTGTTGAAGCTGAAAAAAATTACGGAATAAAAGAATAAAAAAAATTTAAATAGTTCAATAAGTGCTATCTTTTTGTATATATTCTTTCAAAGAAAGTTTTTTTCGTTATTGCAATTATATAACGTATAATAGCTTTTCTTGGAAACATTATTAATTCATTTAATCTGTGCATAAAAATATTAAAATAAGATAATCGAAAATATTTTAGAAGATATTTAATATTTCATATCAAAATATGTCAGAGTCAAAATATAAAATATTTTATAAATTGTTGTCTTTCTGACTGCCTTATTTCTATATCTTTTTATGAAAAATAAAATAGAATAGAGAGATATTCAGCTACATTATTCCGGTGTACGTGCAGTTGCATTAACAAAAATCGAGTATAACTATGGATTTGAAGTATTTAAAGTACACTTTCATATTGAGATTCTACTTGAAGTACTACACTCTGAATCTGCCGTTACTTCCTGTCTATTATGTATATTGCGGAGTTTTTCTTTTGAGAAAGCTACGCCGCGAGGTGGATATTCTGGCGGCGCATAAACGTCAGATTGCGCCTGAAGGCAATCGGATGAATCATATAACCGCTAGATAATTTCTTTTCATACAAGATTAAAAATTGCATTTACCAGTACATAAGGAAGTATAACGTGCGTGTCTTACGGTAAACGAGGTACTACGGTTATTCCGGCGGAATTCGCCAATACGGAGTTGCGGAACGTGCAGCACTTACCTATCTTCCCTTGCACCGCGCAGAGCCATGAGAGCAGTATCAGGTAGTCGCGTATCATCTTTCCGGAATCGCACCTGTAATTACAGACTGCGTTTGAGCGCCACAGAAACCGAATGTCGACAATCGGTATCGGTGATAACGGCACGGCAAGACGGCTTTGTTTGCGCGATTGCGCGCCCACGAGTCCACTTCTCTCGCTCGCGAGATTGCAGCCAAGAACTTCGGCCATGAGATGGAGTATTTCCGACAGACTGGATATTCTTAGAGTCATAAAAGATGATAAGTATATATATATATATATAGGTCTCCTCGGCATGGTATTAAAGCGGAATAACGTTTCGCGCAGTTTAAAACGTGATATGCAAATAGGTCGGCCATTAATGTCGGATAGTACGGCCACGGATAATTCTGCACGCCCCCTCATCCGTGAACGCACCGAATTTGGATCTGATCCGGATTTTTCTCCAACTTCTATTTCCAAGACATATATAGAGGTGGGAAAAATCAATTCCACGTCCCGCGAAAATTCGCAATCGCGGCAATGCCATTCGGAGCTTTATTTACTCTAGCGCTCAATAATTTCAATCATGTGCGGTACACTTTTAGATTCGACCAATAGAAAAAGATTTGTTGATCTATATATTTGACGTCGCAAAGAGCGTTGCGGGCCAATATCAACAAATTTGTTGGCTTTTGACGTTTTGCGCAAAAAAACAGGCTACTCCCGCATGCTTCTCTTGTTACAAATCAAACTATCAAGCTGTTATATACCGCGCACGGTGCTCGGGACTCTCGTAAAATTGACAGAATCGGACTCGAAATCAAATTCCGTTTACGTCGGATGTATGAAATTCATTATTGTAGGAAAAATATGTGACGAACCGCTGCGTATAATTAATGCAGTGCGCGTCGTGTTCGTTCTCAGCGAAACGTAAATATTCAAGATAAATGACACCGCGGCAAATGATAAACAAGCGCTAATTTCGGATTTAATTCGACGACAATTGCCTCGCGAACAATAACGCGACATGTTACTCAAGCATCTTGCATGAATATTTCCCATATGGCTAAACACTCATTACGAACATTACGGTTTCTATTACTCGCAACAATGTAATATCTCTGACATCAGAACTACGTGAACTAATTAATACGGAAAGGACGGTTTTACTCAAGTTTTATCTAAAAATTTAGCTATAGATGCAGATGTGAAAATAATTTTTGTCGGATCATTAAAATAATTTTAGTAATTTCAAGCATGATTTGAAAATGCAAATTTTGATGTTCTAGCAATCATTTTTGAACGTTCTACATAATTATTTTAATGGTCTAACGAAATTATTTTTAAACTTGTAGTTAAAAGATTTCAAATACTTTAGTAAAACCATTCTTCCGTGCACGTGCAGCTCCTTTTCGCAAATTGCATTAATACTCTCGTCCCTCTCTCGCCGTAACGTTATTATTTTCATATATATATATTTCATCAGAGACTTTATTTCGCGCGGCGAAAAATGTTTTTATTTACAAATTCGCAATCGTCAATTTTTCCGTAATATTTTTAACGCCAGATATTTTATACACTGAGTTTTTCCATTTCTCGTCATTTTACAGAAATTGCTGTAGATATTTTGGCTGCGCCCATTCACACGCTTACCTTGCTTAACGTATTGCCCGAGCCTGGGAGCGCTGAAAAGCGGATGAGTGGAGGGCGGGCACATTTGGCCCGGCGGCCACCGTGAATTTCAATTTGCGACTAGCGCACGACAGGAACGACAAGCAGAATTACGAGGACGAAGCGAACCATTACGGGCAATCGGTCTATCATGGACGGCTCTTTGTACAGCCGTGGGCGGAAGTTTACGATGGGACACGCGATTTTCTTGTTCGTTTCGGACGCGCGTGTGCGCGCCGGGCGCTAACGACTTAATGCAAAATAATGGCGCGGCGTGTCGATACGCGCGGTGGTCCTGTCTGCCATATAAGCGACCCTAACCACTGCGTCGTGGCGTGAATAATTCGCAGGGACACGGAGTGTCAAAACGTCGATACGATATCGCGGTATTAGGAGGAACGTAATTGCGCAGAAGTAATTGCGCTGATGATTCTAGTTGTTACCCGAGGGATCGATTGTGTTCCCCCGACGGAATTGATTAACTCGCTTGGGAGGATCGTCTCTTTGCGACAATTCTTGCAAATGACGATAAAATTAAGCACCCAGATGTCTATGACATGGTCTATTCTCCGTTTCTAATTAGAATAGATTAAAATAGAAGTGGTTCGTGATACTGTCTCAACGTTTTCCAACTCTAAAAGTTTTACCGAAAAAGCTTCAAATTAAAATGAGCGGAGATTAATTTGATAAGACTTCATAATTTATTTCACACAACTAAAATAGTTGCAACAATTTCTATCTTATCTGTTCATGCATGCATTAATGTTGCTTTCTCGAATAAACAATAGTATTTCTTAATTTAAGAATCGAGGACATGGAAGTAGAGTCAATTTTATGAATATTTTCAGCAGAGTAAAAAGAAATAAGATGTAAAGGGCATATAAAGTCGATGTAAAAGATTCGTCATTCTTAAATATGATTGAGAATAATACGCATCTATTTTTAATGCTTTCATCCGTTTTTGCACCAATAAATGAACTTTAATCTCGATTCAACTTATTCTCCATCTTTTCTAGTTCGAAAAAGTAGAAAAAGATAAAGAATAAGTTAATTAGAAATTAAATAATTATAAAGTTAATCTACGTTGATGCAAACGAATATAAATAATTTTCATTAATTGAGACACATTTTGGCTGTAATATATTTTTTGTATCACGTGCACCTTATTTGAAAACTCATTCAACATCAAGCTCGTAAACGAGAAATCATTTTTCTCGATACGATAGCTGGCGCGGCTCACTAAACTAAACACGAAACTTTAAAAACTGCGCTCGTAAATATTCATGACACGCGCGAGGTGTAATTACTTGTAATCGCATGTCACATCGCACAAATGGCTATGTCGAGTCGCCATAAGAATTCCGCGTAATGTGTTAACGCGATAGCTACTTCCACGAGTGAAAATAACGAGTGCATAAATACTATTATGTCGCGCGCGAGCGCGTGTTTTGGATAAATAGCTCGTCAATGCATATATTATGATCCGTAAAATTTTAATTTTTATTATTATGAGTCGAGAGACTTCACGAGAAGATTTATTCCATTCGATAACTCGGCAAACGAAGTTCCGTTCGAGAAATGCGGGACAAACTTATATAACTTGACCTAAGTCCGAATTTCACTTTAGACGATCTATTATCCGTTTTAGATTTTAGGATCAAATTTTATTTATAATTTCATATGTACCACACATATTTGGATTCGTATGTGTTTAATACATATATATTTCACATATGTGTGTATTTTCCAATATTTCTCGAACATTTCATGACAATACGTACGACGGTGCGCTACGGATAATTTAATTCACTCACAAAGACTTCCCTCAAGATTCGATAATTTCTGTAATGCATTATTCATAAGAACAGCATGGCCGCTCTTGACAATTTCAAAAAATTGCACATATCTCTGTACACATGATCAAGAAGTTGCGAAAATAAATCTCAAAGTTTACAGAAAAAGTACTTCCTGTGTAAATTCTTGTGTAAATTGTTTTCAACGAAATCCAAACATAGAGAGAGAGAGAGAGAGAATATATATATTACAATACTTTCTAGAGAAACTATATATATATACTCGCACTGTTTGTTCTGTATTTTCTTACTCTGACAACGTAGGCACACTAAATCGCAGACTTCGCGCTCCGATAAACTCAGATTATATCTGATTATAGTAGCACGTTGTCAGGTAGATAACATCACTGGCATCATCGAACAGGATGGCTGAGGATGTTGTCTGACCATAAACCCCCTACCGCGCCATTACTCGACGTGTCTCGTCTATATTAGAGCGATGTATTCCGTCCTTCGGATCCGTGGATCCTCTATGTTGGAAAACGCTCAGTTGACCTCGATACCGCGTCATCCGAGTGACCTCCTGATACACGGATGGTGGAGTAATTATCGGCACTCTTAGGTCGGTGACTAACGAACTGTCTATCGTGCAGGCATTACGGAAATCCGTTTTCTCGATCGAATCGCCTTTATCGAACATTTCTCCACTTTGCCATATATGTAATCTTTCTATCGCAACTATCGGCAATCAGTAGGGAATCAGTAGGGGATCGCGATAAAGTGGAAGCACGTAGTTGCCATTCCTTCGCGATATCCGCCGAAGCCAGTGGCGCATTTTCGATTAGGCCCTCCTAGATCCAAGCTTGAAATTGTATTTAAAGATAGTGGCGTAAGATGAGAAGACGTTTCCTTTTTACTGAAATTTTTTTCAGAGGCACAATTTTATTTAATTCCTACAATCGCTACGTAAAGACGATTCATGGACATTCGTCAAGAATTAGGATCGTTTACGGTAAAAGCAAATGAAACTTTTAGTAAATTATCGATTAAAGCTTCCCGTTAATTTATAGCGTCATTTATCACGAGGAAAGGTAAAGCCGACGCGAAATTCGTGCCAACGCTACCCATTATTGTGTACAAAGAAATATTAGGATAGAATGTCTGTTCGAAAGGAGATATACGCGAATACAATAAGTGTATTGATTGGTTTTTCGAAGCTGTGCCTCAATCGGATTATATTCTACAGAAGGAAGCCAACCAGCAATTTTTCGATTGTTGATTGGTTACCTTCTGTAGAATTCAAGATCCAATTTTATCATGTTTCAAAATAAATCGCACATAGCCGCTTTTGGATTTTGTTTTATTTTGTCCGAGCATCCACACTACGCCAATACGCCTGTGTTTCTCTTTAGCAACACCTTCCACAATTGTTTGCTTTTAGTTTGCTCTATACGTGATCATTGCTTCCAGATACAGCAAACATAAGAAAACACGTCTTTTCTACGTTTTCTCTGTGTTAGCTTTCAAATCAAACTTAATATCATTCTGCGCCAGCGCTGTTACGCTCCGCGATGTAGATTTTCACGAACATTATTTATAAATATTTATC